GAATTTCTTTCCCCTTTGCCTAACATCTGTATTCCCAGACTCCCTTACAGCTTGGGACAGCCATGTGACTAAAGGACTTCTTAAATGAATTAATTTATGTGAAGAATTTAAAACAGTACTTGGCACAGAGTAAACTCCATATATTCGGTTTTTGCCATTACTGTTTTTTTTTTTTTCTTCCCTGATACAAAGAAAACCCTTTTCCGCTTGTTCCCATACTTCCTGCTTAGTTCACTGGAATGAGAATGTGAGAGCTGGAGCGTAGGCATCCATCTTGTGACCATGAGGCAATAAGCCTAGGTTATGAAGCTATCATTCTGAGGAAGGTGGAGCAAAAGAGTAGAAGAAGACTGGGCCCTTGGTGATATCAATAAGCTGTTTCAACAAGCCTCAGAACCTCCTAACTCCAGACTTCTTATTAGATGAGATAACTGCATATCTTTAAAGCTTAAGTCATGTTAATTAGGTTTTCTGTTTCTTGCAGCCAAATGCATTCTCATAAATCCATCTCTGTATTCCCAGCACCAAACCTAAAGAGGGTGGTTAATTAATATTTCATAATAAAAGTTTGAATCATATAGGATATGTCTGAGTTCAGGCATATGACCCTCATCAATTACGGGTGTTGCAATGGAAATAAGCTTGCAAATCTCTGCTTTGCGATGCCGAGGCCTTAGAGAAGGGATTTGGAACTGGATATATTTTGGGTTTGCCTGCCCAGCTTCCACTTCTGGTAACAGATCTTCAATTTTCCTTTGGGGAATGACCCCTTCTCCCACTGCCTCGTTTGGTTGGACATGTGATTAAGGCTTGACCAAAGAGAGCACTACCTCTCCAGAGCACCATGACAGGCCTTCCTGTGTCCTCCCGCATGACAGCCTTTGCATAGCTGTTCCCTCTGCTTGGGACGTGTCCCACTAGTCTCCCACCATCTCAACATCTTCTCCTGGCTAATATTCACCCGTCCCCTATCTCTCAGTTTAACGTCACCTGTCATGGATTGAATTATGCCCCCCAAAAATATGTATCAACTTGGCCAGGCCGTGATTCACAGCATTGTGTGATTGCCCACCATTTTGTCATTTGATGTGATTTTCCAATGTGTTGTAAATCCTCCCTCTATGATGTTAACAAGGTGGGATTAGCAGCAGTTATGTTAATGAAGTTAATTAGGTTGTGTTTTAAGCCAATTTCTTTTGAGATATAAAAGAGAGAACTGAGCAGAGAGACATGGGGACCTCATACCACCAAGAAAGTAGTGCCAGGAGCAGAGTATGTCCTTTCGACCCGGGATCCCTGTGCTGTGAAGCTCCTAGACCAGGGAAGATTGATGACAAGGACCTTCCTGCAGAGCTGATAGAAAGCCTTCCCCTGGATTTGGCACCATGAATTCAAGTTTCTAGCCCCCTAGATTGTGAGAGAATAAATTTGTTTGTTAAAGCCATCCACTTGTGGTATTTCTGTTACAGCAGCACTAGATGATTAAGACAGTCACCGCCTCCTTTTCCGTCTCCAAAAATGCTTCTGAGTAGTGCACTGGGTTTCTATTGCTTTCATATCCCCAACAAGCTTTTCCATTCTACTTTTTCTGGTAATTATTTGGGTTGAACCATACGAAATTACCAATATTCTGCCTTTCCTGACCCACAAAAATGGCAATTTCCTATTGTTCAACCTAACATTTAGGAGCACAACCCTCCTCCACCCTCCTCTGCCATCCACATGACCTGACACGCATGACTCCCACCTGGTCAGTCAAAAAATCCCATTGCCACAATCAGCGCTGAAGTGGCCTTGTGACCCCAATCAGGCCAATCAGAGCCCTTCCCTGGAATTTTTTACTTAAGACTTGAGGAGACGCCATTTTGCCTTTGGGCTATGATACTGGAAGGATAGAGTCTGTGTCTGTAAATAAATGGCCATTTTCCCCACCACATGCAGTTGAAGGGAATGAATCTGAGATGAGACACGCAGGAGGGAGAGACGGGTGGGGAGAGTGAATCTTGGTGGGGTTAAGTCAGGGCTCCAGTCCCCGAGGCCCTGGTTCCTGTAGCTTTACCCTTAATTCTGTTTCCTTCCCAGACATGAACCCACAAATGCCCCCTTTTTATGCCAAATCCAACTGAGCTGAGTTTCTGTCACTTGCCACCAAAAGATCCTAATACACTTCCTCTGTGCTCCCACAGCTTACTGTGCCTCCCTCATTCCTGCCCCCACCTTCTGCCTGTGCTGCCCCGCTCCCGTCCCAATTGGCCAGAACCATCTGTCTGTCTGAGCTCCGGAAGAGCAGGGACTGGGGCTGTCTTGGTCACCGCTGTGTCTCCAGTGCCCACACAAGGCCAGGCTCAGACAGAGGCTCAAACATTCCCCTAAGATGATACCATGCCCCCTCTCACCAAGTGTGCCTGTCCCTTAGGTTCAAAGCTCTCAATTTTGAAAAAACAGGCAAGTCATTGGCATTGACAAGTGCTTTTCTATTAAATGAAGGGTCTGGGTTCACAGGGAGCGGGGGTGAATAGGTGTCATTCAAAGGGCTGGACCGGGGACCGTGAAGGCCCTGAATATGTGGCTGGGTGGATGCCAAGTTCTCAGGTGACAGTCCCTGCTTCTATTTTGAAGGTAAGCACACTCTATCCCAAAGCGGAGGTCTCCACCGAAATCCAACCACACACCTCCCCTGCTGAAAACCCTCCCTTTGCTTCCCACAGCTCTGAGAATAAAAACTGCACCACCACCACAGCCCACAAGGCTCTGCAGAATGTGCTCGCTGCTTGCCTCCCCCCCTCCTCTCCCCCTCACTCCACTCCAGCCGCACAGGTACACTTCTGCCTCAGGGCCTTTGCACACACTGTTGCCTTTGGCTTGAATGCTTTTTTCCCCAGCTCTTCCCACAGTGGATTTTCTTCAGCTCCAACATCACTCCCCTGGCCCCATGCTAAACTAGGCTTCCCAGCCATTCCCTGCACCCTCACCCTGTTTTCCTTCTTAGAACGGCGTTTTCTCACCAGCAAACATTCTTTGTTACTTATTTGTTTACTGTTTCTCCCCTCTAGAACATAAGCTCCATGGGGCAAGATTTTTTTATTTTATTTGTCTATTTTGTTCACTGCTGTGTCTCCTGTACAGGGCCAGGTACATAAAACATGCTCAGTAAATCTTTATCAAGTGAATCAGAGGGAGTATAGTCTGGCGGTTACGATGGTTAGTCTGATGTGCAGGATCTATAGGCAGAGAGCTTTCCGATCGAGGCTCTGCCGGTTCCCAGCTGTGTGATCTTGGGCAAGCTCCTTAACCTCTCTGAGCTTCAGTTTCTTCATCTGGAAAGTTGAGTCTACATGCTACACGTGTCTGTGGCAGGGTTTAAAAGCCACCAAGCTTATCTGCGTAATTCCGTCTCTTGAGAGCTGTGTGCCAGGCGCTGGGTTACATGCTCTGTATTCATGCATCAGGAAGGGTTTCTGAGCAAGCGCCTTGTGTGTGGGAAGCCCTCAGTCCCTGAGAATGAAGAGTCGTGATGACTGAGGCAGATATAAGTTTGGCTGGGCCACTGGGTGAGGGAGGCTCCCGGCCTGTGATTCTCGGTGCCTGCGTCCTTGCTGCCTCCCACCCTGTCTGCCCAGATCCATCCCCCTCCCTCCTGCTCTCAGTTTCTATTTCTGTCTTCCTCTCCTCTTCCCCAGGCCTCAGGGGGCCCCTGGCTGGCAGGAAGCCTTCCTCCTTCCCCAGGATCAGGAAGGAGCTTCCATTGTAGGACCCCACAAGGGCTCAGCTGCCCCCCTAACCAGTCTCTCTGGAGAAATTCCCCTCCCACACCACCCTCTGTGCCCCCAGCAGAACCCCTTCTCCACCTAGCACCCCTCAGATTCCAGCCAGAGGCCAGAGCATGCAATGAGCTCTCCCTCATCCCTTCTCCCACCAGGCTGGCCTTGGGTACCTGTGCTCAGCTCAGGTCACTGGGGCCATTCCCAGCCTCCAGACAGACCCCAAAAGCAACACAGTGCAGTGCTGAGGAAGAGGCTGAGGACATACTGCCAGCTCTGCTGTGTATTCCCTAGGGGCCTTGGGCAAGTGACTTCACCTCTCCCTGGCTCAGATTTACCTGTCTGTAAAATGGGACCATGGATAGCTACCTCGCGGTTGTCAGATCTCAGTGAGATAAACTGTGCTTAGCACAATACCTGCGTGTGGACACAATACCTGAGTGTGGGATGAATATTCAATAACTCTTGAGCAGCAGAGTCCTGTATTGTCCTCAAAAGTCCAGACTCCAACCTCTTGCTAAACCCCAAACCAAACCTGTTGCCATCAAGTCGATTCCAACTCACAGCGACCCTAGACGACAGAGTAAAACTGCCCCATAGGGTTTCCAAGGCTGTAATCTTTATGGAAGCAGACTGTCACATCTTTTTGCCTCCGACCGGTGGGTTCCGACCACAGACTTTTCAGTCAGCGGAGTGCTTAACCACTGCGCCCCCAGGGCTCCTTAAAAGCCACGCTGTTGTTGTTGTTAGGTGCCATGGAGTGGACTCCGACTCACAGCGACCCTCTGTACAACAGAACAAAACCCTGCCCGGCCCTGCGCCATCCTCCCAATTGTTGTTATGCTTGAGCCCACTGTTGTAGCCACTGTCAAAGCCACGCTACCTGCCTTTAAACTCCAGTTCTGCCATCTTCTGGCTGTGTAACCTCGGGCAAGTTACTTAACTTTCCTGGGCCTCGATTTCAGCTGTAAAACAGGATAATACCCATCTCCTAGGGTTGTTGTGAGGATTAACTGATTTTTAAGGGCTTGGAACAGCGTTCGACAGGCAGTTAGTGCTCAGTGTTAGCTGTTACCATTTTTTGTTACGTTCTCCATCTCTTCTCTCTCAGGGGCTAGGAGCCTGTCTGCGAGTCTCCCTGGCCCGTTAGCCACGCTTCCTTCAGACTCACAGTCCTCATGCTGCCATCTAGTCACCCTCTGCCACCCCAAGACACACACAGAGGTCACGCAGGGCGGCCTCAGACACAGAAAAAAGTTTAATTCTGCTGCGGCGGCGGAGGGTCCCAGCTCCAGCAGGGAGAGGGATTTGGTTTTGGATTTTGTTCGTGTGGGGATTTATTCGGGGAACGAAGACGGAGTAGGGGAGTCTGGTCCTTCCGGTGGGACCTGCCCGGGAGACTGTGTAGTGGGAAGAGGAAATCCGGAGACTGGGAGACTGGACATGAGAAGGGAGGGCAGAGGGAGAAGATACGACGGACAGAGAAAAGGGGGACAAACTGGGGAACGGACTTAAGACACAGTAGACGGGGTGGGGGAAGGGAGGGAACTAGAGACAAACGAGAGGGTCAGAGAAAGGGGGACCCCAAGCCACTCGACGGGACCAAGGAGATGGAGGGGTTGAGGGTGGGGGCTTTGGAGGCCGACGCGGGACAGAATAGGATCTAGGCCAGCCAGATACAAGAAATGGGCCCCTCGCCCCTGCCCCGGGTCCCGGGCGGGGCGAGGGGGCTCGTGTCTCAGTGCTGCAGTGTCGGGGGGCCCGGCCCCTGCCCGCGCTTCGCTGTGTAAGGCACCGGCTCTAGCGAGGTCCGCGAGCGCGCGGGGGGGAGGGGCAGGAGGGCGTGGGGGAGGGGAGCCCAGCGGCCCGCCACTCCCCCGGGCGCGGGGGCGTGGCCTGCGCCGTCGCCGGAGGCCGCACCGCCCCCGTCCGGACGAGACGGGCGCGGCTCCCCTCCTGGGCGACGTCTCCGTCTCCGTCTCGCGCTGCCTCTTTCCCGGCGTCCCGCCCCGGGCTCCGAGCGGCTGGGCGTTTGTCCCGGCACCCAGGCGTCCCGGCGCCTGCCCGCCGCTCACACGGTACTCTCCAGCATCCACTCGGTGCTGGTAAAGGCCAGGCGCGCCCTGGCGGAGCCCAGCCCCAGGTCTCCGTCGTCCCCGGCCACGCCCGCTCCGGCCCCGTCCAGGTGCGGCGTGGACCGGTGGCGCTTTGTCCGCCGGGCGCGGCGCGGGTAACTGTGGCTCTGGAAGAGCGCCCCGTAGTCCCCGTCGAACGAATAGCGCTGCTGCGGCCTCGGCCGGGAAGGGGCCCCCCCAGGAACCAGAGCCAGAGTCGGGGGCGCCGAAGCTGGTGGCCCTAGCGCCCCGGAACGGCTCCTCCGAGGGCCCGCCGCGGCCCGAGCCTCCTCCCCGGAGGTTTCCTCGGACGGCAGCAGACACAGCGAGGTGGCCGAGCCGCCCAGCGAGCGTCCAAAGACCGCTTCCAATTCTGTGGAGGCCGCCTCCGCCGCCGTGGCCTTGGCCTCGACGACGGCGGCGGCGGCAGCAAGGGACGTCACCTCGCGCAGCGCCTCGTAGCTGTCTTGCGGGGGCGGGGCCTGCGCCGCGCCTGCGCCGTTGGTCTGCGAGCACACGTGGCTGACCCTCGGGGGCGACCTGGAGGAGCCCTTAACACGACGGCCATCCCCATCGCCGTAGACCTTGTAGCGGATCATGAGCAGGATGATGAAGACGAGGACCGAGGCAACGATGACGCCCCCGATGGCGATGATCATGGTGCCGCCCAGGAAATGGGCCCGCAGGGGGCGGCAGGGCGCCGGGTCCCCAGCGGTGGTGAACTGCACACAGCCCACCACGCGCGTGGCCGGCAGCGCCGTGGCCCCGTCGTCGTAGACAGCCAGCACGCACAGGTCGTAGGCACGGCCTGCCGCCAGATCATTCACCAGGAAGGTCTGGCTGGTGGATGGAATCATCCTGCGGGAGGAGGCGGGATCAGAGCCGGGTTAGCCCTACTTTGGACCACGCTCGTTCATTTGCATGCCCCACCCACAGTGGCCAGTGGGGATCAAACCCCGACCAGTGTCTCATCCCCTACTTAAAAAAAAAAAAAGAAAAATTGCTATCGAGTAGATGCCAACTAATAGCGACCCTACAGGACAGAGTAGAACTGCCCCTTAGGGTTTCCAAGGAGCGGCTGGTGGATTCCAGCTGCCGACCTTTTGGTTAGCCGCCGATCTCCTAACCACTGGGCGCCCTGGGCGCCGCCAGGGCTCTGTGTCACCACTTACTGGGACAAAAACAGCAGTTCAAACCCCTCATCAACCTATTCCCCTCCTTTCAGTACCACTGCTGCAGGCCACACCCTGTCATCTGCATGCCCCGCCCTCGGTTAGACACACCTTCTGGCTGTGTCCCACCACCTGCTGGGACAATAACTGTCATTCACCATCCCTCATCTACACATTCTGACTCCTGTAAAGGACCTGCTCTGTAGGCTACACCCTCATGAGACATGCCTTCAAGGGGTGTCTCATCCCCGGCTAAGACTGCTGCCAGTCAAGCTCCCTCATCTACGTATTTCCAGGTTTTCGGGATGCTGGTAGAGGCCACTGCCCTTACCTGCATGCCCCACCCTCAGGCAGATACAGTCCCTCCTACGAGGGCAATGGATATGTTGTTTAGTTTCTACATATTCCAGCCCTTTAGAAGGAATCAGGCCGCACCTTGGAGTAACCATATCCCCTAGTAGCCTCCATCCCCTACTGGGGCAATTTCCAAGCCACTCATCTACATATTCCCACCGTTAAGGTACTGGATGCTACAAGCCACTCCCCTCCAAGCCACACCCCCCAATGGCCCCCTCCGGATGGGTCCCCTGCTGTGCCCAGGACCATGTCCACCCTTTGCACACCCCTGCTCCTTCTTTGGCTATTAGGAGCAACCATCCCTCAAGTCCCTGTACTGCCAGAAGTCCCCAAACCATGTTTCCAGAGAGTTTCGTCCATACTTGGGTCAAAGGTCCCCAAGCATGCTCTTCCACTGCTATAGACCAAAACCAAACCCGTTGCTGTGGAGTCGATTAGGACTCATAGCAACCCTACAGGACAGAGTAGAACTGCCCCATTGGGTTTCCAAGGAGCAGCTGGGGGATTTGAACTGCTGACCTTTTGGTTAGCAGCGGAGCTCTTAACCACTGCACCAGCAGGGTTCCCTGCTTTGGACCACTCCCTTCGGATGAGAAGCAGTGCAGAAAAGTGGTTCAGCGGCCGGATGGCCTAGTTTTGAATCTCTCCTCTACCACTCAACTAGCTCTGTGACCTTCGGCAAGTTTCTTAATCTCTCTGTGCCTCAGTTCCCCCATCTGGGAATAAGGAGAGTTCCCGCATCGTAGAGACGGTGTGGGGACTGAATGAGTTAACATCTTCAAAGCCGGCACTCAGTAATGATATCATCATTATTAGCAGGCATCCCACCACGTGTTGGCCAGTAACACTTTCTGCGTCTCCCACTCCACTGCCCATGGCAACTCCCCGTCTACGAGACCCGCCCTCTGGAGGGCCAGTACCACTAGGCCTTCCCCTCTGTGGGGCACATCCTTGCACACTGTCTCCACGAATCCAAGCGGCACATCTGGTCCCATCTAAACCAGGACTCCCGTGGCCACATTTGTTTGCATGCCCAGCACTCAACCTCACCTACTCTCCTGTCCTGCAAAAACCAGCTTCTCTTAATGGGTCACCAGAGGCAAGGACCGCCTCCTCATCTGCCAGGGACCAGCAAAGCAAGCCCCACCTCCTCTCAAGGCCACACCCCCATCTCCACAGGCCTTACCTCTCAGAAGCTTCACCTTCCCTTCCAGCAGGGCCACCTTCTGTTACTCCACCTCCAGAAGGTTGTTCCACCACCAAGAGCCACTTACTTTAAGTCCAGGCCCACCCGCTTCTCCGGCTCTGCCCCAGCCTGCCATTTCGCAGACTCCCAGCCCCACCCTAACCATCCTTGCCTCCTCTGGCCCTGAGTCTTCCTCTTCCTCTCCTTCCTCTTGCCCCTTCCCCCAAAATAACCAGCTGTTAGGGGCTCCCTCCTTTTCCAGGACAGAGGCTGCCTCCTACAGAAGGCTTGAGCCCATGTGTCTCTAATTGGCCACAAGGCCCAAGCAAGCAGCTGAGCAGGCTTCTGGTTGGATGTCACCTCCGCCCGTGGCAGCAGTGAAGAAGTTAACTCCTGCAGCGCCACAGCACAGGCATCTGCAAGGGGGGGTGGAGGGGGTGGGTGGAGGACTGGAACTGTGGCCCTAAAGGGCAGGGAAGAGTCCCAGGGTCTGCTGCCCAGCTGGGGATGGGGGCCATCAACATCTGCATACATCTGCAACATCGGGGGACCTGTGAACCATCCTCCTCCTCCCCCCACAGTGGCCATAGGTCAGAAAGAGAAGGAAAGAGAGAAACAGAGACGTGGACAGTCACAGAAACCAAGGATTCTTTACAGAAAGGTCTCAGCCATCTCCCCTCCATCCCTGCCTGGCAAACAGTAGGTGCTCAATAAATATGTGACAGCATAAAAAGGACAGGATTAGGAGCTGGAAGGGTAAACTCTGGAATGCTGGCTCTGCCCACTTTCTGTGTGACCTTGGGCAGAGGGCTTCATTCACCCCAGTGCCTCAGTTTCCCTGGCTGTAAAATGGGGCAGGGGGAGGGGATCACCTCTGCTTCACAGCAGAGTCAGGAAAATTAAATGAGGTGGCGCCCTTGGGAGGAAGCACCTTGTAAAGGTTTACAGGGCCAGTGTCTAACCTCTGTCTATAAGCCCAGGGCCTGACACAGGATCTGGCACACAGCAGGCATTCACTCTGTGTTTGGTGATCAGAATCAAAGAAGGGAGGAAACACAAGGAAGACAGAGACAAAGGGAAAGAGAGACATTCATTCATCCAACCCACAGTGGGAAAGCGCCTACTATGTGCCAGGCATGTAGCCAAGTGAGCCCTGGGAAAACTGGAGGCAGAGGCCAGGAGACAGGCTTCTTCCCAAAGGTGGGAAAATGGCTTGGCTCCTCCAGCGCCCCCAGGTGAACTCCAGCACAGGGCTAAGCACTGGGTGGGCACTCAGCAGTGTGTGTGAGGGAGACAGGGACGGGGAGGAGGAGAGATGGCTAAGCAGCCCACAACCACTTAGCAAGTGCCCACCGTGTGCCAGCTCCGTGGCCAAGAGCGATATTCAAAAAATACCCAGATAGACAGCAAGGTCAAGGCCACAATGCATTATGTAATATGTGCCTCCTCCCACTGAGCTGTGAGCTCACTGAGGGCAAGGACCGGGTCTCCTCTTGGTCTGTGTCCCCAGCGCCCAGCCCAGGGCCTGGCATGGAGCAAGGGCTCAGTGACGAATGAGTGCAGGAGGGAGAGAAGGACAGACAGAGACAGAGGCAAGAGAAAGGGGATAATGGAGATGACAGGAGAAAGTAACCCCTCAACCTCTGTCTACACTGCCCAGGTCTGTCCACACCAAGGCAATGGCTTCTAACCCAGTGGAGGGTGGAAATAACTTCGCTATGTATTTCTCATACTTTTTCTTTCTATTTCTATAATATATACAGTGAGTTGGTATAGTGGTACTGGCATATGATTTATAAACATAAACATAACTGTAAATATGTGTATTTCGCACTCCAGAATGTTTAGCTGACAGGGTGGACAACCAAACGCCTTTGGTGAGCAGAAGTGAAGCCCGTGGGCCCAGGAGAGCAGGGTTGTGCCCGGCTCATTCAATGTTACAATCACTGCCGTGCTCAGCCCTGGTCCTGCTCATGTGAGTGCTCCATGCATATTTGCTGAATGAATGAGAAACAGAAAGAGACAGAGGGACAGAAAGAAATAGAGGAGGAGATAGGCAAATCAGGACCCTGGACAACTCCGAACGGCCATCTAGAACCCTGGCTGAGCAAGTAGGCCCCCCTGAGCTTGGGAGGAGGTCCTGGGACCGCACACCCACCTGTAGACCAGGGAGTCGTCGGCGGAGCTGTTGTACTGAACCTGGTACATGCGGATGCCGGGCACCGGCCTCTGGGCTGGCCAGCGGATGAGCACAGAGTTCGAGGTAAGCTCTGCAGCGACGAGCCGGCGCTCAGCAGCTGAGTCATTGGCCCCAGGCCGGCCGGGCGTGGCTATATCGGAGGAACCAGGCTCCGTGAGAGGCGGCGGGGCAGCTGGCGGGGGCGCCATCAGCGGCAGAGGGACCACGCACACCTCCACAGGCGCCGTGGCTTCTCCGGCGGCATTGGAGGCGATGCAAGTGAAGGTGCCACTGTCTCGCAAGGTGGTGATGGTGACATCCAGCGTCCCGTCCCACCGGACCCGGGTCCGGCTTGAGTTCCCCAGGAGCCGCCCGTCAGGTGCCACCCAGTGCACCACCGGCTCGGGGTCACCCACCGCCCGGCACCGCAGGCTGACCGCCTGGCCCTCTACCACCAAGGCCCGGCCTCCCGCCTGCCGGGTGATTAGCGGCGGTTCACACAGGAACTCCTCCTCCGGGATGGACCAGAAGTAGCGGTCGGTGAGGTGCTCAGGGGTGGCGCAGGTCTCCAGGTCGTCCTCTCGGGTCAACCGCCGCAGCCAGAGCAGCTCACAGTTACAGTGCAGGGGGTTGCCGCCGAAGCTGACGGTCAGCGGCGTGGGGGGCTTCGGGCCGGCGCCTTGGGACCTCAGGAAGAGCCCGTCGGGCGGGAGTTTATGCAGGCGGTTGGAGGTCATGTCCAGGCGCACCAGTTTGTGGAGCTGCACGAAGGTACCCTCGGCGATGTGATCAATGAGATTGTGATCCAGCGTGAGGGTATTCAGGTTCACCATCTGGCCCACTGCCTCCCACGGCAGGGCCTCCAGGTTGTTGTAGGACAGATCCAGGTCCTCCACGGTGGACAGGAAGGCGTCGAAGGCCGCCGACTCTACTCGGCGGATCTGGTTGTTGCCGAGGATCAGGTGGCGGAGGTTGCCCAAGCCGCGGAGCTGGTCGCCGCGCACCTCCGCCAGACGGTTGCTGTCGAGGTGCAGGGCGCGGAGGGCTCGGAGGTCGGCGAAGGCGCCGGCTGCTACCTGGCCGATGGTGTTCCGGGAGAGGGTGAGGTGCACCAGGCTGGTCATGTTGGCGAAGTCGCGGCGGCGGACGGCCGCGATGAAATTGTCGGTGAGCCGCAGCTCCACGACGCGCCGGTCGATGGCCGGGGGCACAAAGAGCAGGCCCGTCTTGGCGCACAGCATGGTCAGCGTGGGCGCCACGTTCTGGCAGATGCAGCGGCCGGGGCAGGGCTGGCCACGAGATGCCCCGGCCCAGAGCAGCAGGAGGAAGGGCAGGGCGGCAGGCGGCGGCGAGAGGAGCCCCGAGAAGGGGCCTGGAGCCATGGTGCAGGGGGCAGGCGGAGGGAGGGGGCGGAGAGACCTGCAAGGGAAGAGAGGGTTTACCCAGGCCTGGGGCGCGGCCGCCAGCCTGGCCACGGGGAGGTCCTGCTACGAGTCTGACCTGGATCCTCCGCTCCTACGGACTGGGTCATATGGGACAACCACAGGACTGATAACCAACATGCGTTAACTGCTAACAGATTAACATATTTTCATGCTGGTTGGTTAAATGTCACCGCCCCACCCCTGAGCACCCTACTCCCTCCTCTCCCCCTCCTCCAGGAGTCCTGCAGGCCCCCCAGTGATCCCCCACCGGAGAGGCTACACCTAGCCCAGCATGGGCCCTCCAGTACCCAGTAGATATCCTGAAAAATCACTGCTGACTAGGGTTTAACGCCATGGATTTCAAAGACATACTAAACCAAAAAAAACAAATCGTTGCCATCGGGTTGATTCCAACTCATAGCAACCCTATAGTCGTACTAAACCAAAAAATCTAAATCCATTGCCGTTAAATCGGTTTCGACTCATAGCGACCCTATAAGACAGAATAGAACTGCCCCATAGGGTTTCTGAGGCTGTAATCTTTACAGAAGCAGATTGCCACTTCTTTCTCCCAAGGAGCGGCTGGTGGGTTCAAACCACCGACTTTTGGGTTAGCAGCTGAGTGCTTAACCATTGCGCCACCAGGGCTCCTTAAAGCCATATTCCCTGGGTTCAAATCCCAGCACCGACACTTACTAGCTGCGTGACCTCGGGCAAATGTCTGAAGCTCTCTGAATCTCGGTTTCTTCATCTGTAAAATGGAGATAGAAACAGGCCTTACCTCTGTGAGGGTCAAATGGCTTAATAAACATAGCATTCTTGGAACAGTGCCTGGCGCATAAAATGTGCTCATACATGCCAGCTATACTATCATCCCCATCATCAGCCACTTAACATATATATACCAGGCATAGCAGTGTGCACCATTATGAAGAACAAGTGCTTTGAAATCAAACAGACCCAGTTCGAATCCTGGCTCACCACTTGCTAGCTGTGTGACCCCAAACAATGAGTTCCTCATTTGTAAAATGGGGTGCTACTAGTGTCATCTTCATTGGGCCATTGTAAGGACTCAGTGAGCTGATTCATGGGAACCACTGAACCCAGGGCTGGGCACATAGTAAGCACCCAATACATGCCTTTGGCAGTGGCAGAGAGAGTTTAGAGGTGGGAGGGGCCAATGAACCCCACCCCCACTGTCAGAGTCTCCCTGCTCCACTATGGGAAGCCCTGCTCTGAGCCTGGCCTCACCCTGGGCACTGCTGAGCTCCTAAGCAAGGGCGCAGACTTTTCTGCTCACACCGGTGGGCACACACCCTCAGATACAGCCACACATGCCTGCACAGGCACGCACACACACGCACACTCCCGCTATGCCTCTGCTCCAGGCAAAACCTTCCGGTGGGGATTCCCCCTGCGGCGGCTACAGCCCACGACATGTCAGCTCCCATCACAACACAAGGTGGGCGGGGAGGGGGGGGTGAAGAAGAATGGATGGGAAGGGGGCGTCCCTGAAACAGTTTTCACCCCGTCCCACCCCGGGCCCCAGCCCCTGCTGGCCCACCTTCCAGGAATCTGCAGTTTGGGCTGTGGCCTGAGGTAGTCCTCACCCTCTGCCGTTAAAGAGGGGGACAGAGGACATGGAGAGGGGAGACCAAGAGAGGCAGGGAAAGAAGTGAAATGAGACGGGGAGAGGCAAGGGAAGGGAGAGATGGACTGGCAGAGACAGAAAGACAGGCTCAGAGAACGAGGAAGAGACAAAAAGAGAGTTCGAAAGAAGAGCGAAGAGACAGAGGGAGATTGAGGCCAAGAGGGACAGAAAGAGTGAAGAATAAAGGAGAACGAAAGGAAAAGAGAGAGACAGAGGGACAGCTCCAGAGACACGGAGAGACAGACAGACGGTGTTACACAGAGGGAGGCAAAAAGAGACAGAAGAGGCAGAAGAGAAAAAGGCAGGGCCAGGGCGTCCCACCATCTCTGAGCCCCCACCCTTAATTTGTCCTTCACTCCCTCTAGGACACCGTTCCATATGGGACAGGAAGCCCTGGCCTGGAAGTAGGACTCCTGAGGTCGGAGCCCTAGCCCTGACCTGCTTGGCTATGGGGTCTCTAGGGCTCAGCACCCCAATCTCCCGAACGAGGCTAGAGTCTCTTCTCCCACAGCAAGACTCAATTTGAAGGAATCTAGACCAGGCTGCTATGTGACTATAGACAAGGCAAGTGACTTCACCTCTTTGTGCCTCAATGGACTCATCTGTGAAATGGGGATATGATAGCGCCGACCTCAGAGGCTTGTTGTAAGGATAAGATAATACACTGTAACATGCTTATAATAGTTCCAAACTGAGTACACATTACATAAATGTTAGCTGCTATTATTATGATGATGATCATTTATTATTTTCTCTGGTTCTTGCTCAGCCACCAGCAGGCTAGACTATCAGGAGATCCTTCCACACGCACGCACATACACGCACAAAATGGCAAACCATGTCTACTCAGCTCTCCAAATACAAGGGTCATGGCAGGTCATGAAGCTCTTTCGTACCCTCTACTCATATCATGAAGACCTCCCTTTCTTGGCTGCCTGGCCCCAGATGCCTCCTGGCCGGAAACCCCACCTGCCCCCAGAGTCTCTCAGCCATCCATGTTCTGAATCTACCAGGAGCCCTTAGCCAAGCATGATGCTCCTGACCTGGGCACCACCCCTAGCCTGGGGGAGCACCTGGCCCTTGGGATACCGCCATACCATACCCCAAACTGAAATCCGTGTTAGGCAAGGGCTCCAGGCCTCCAGCCAGCTCAGAACAAGCCCAGTCACCCCACACCTCTCGAAGCCTGAGGCCCCCACTCACCTCTCTTCAGGGAGTCAGGGCCTGGGCCAGTACCTGCAAAGGAGCAAAAAGACTCTGTTAGCATCCTTCTAGCTACTCTTTGGGCACCCGGTCCTCCTTGGAGGCTGTCTCAGCCAAGGAAGTCCCTGATGTTGTCGCCCCCTCAGCCCACCTGCTGCAGGCTCTACACAGTCTCACGGGAACCCAGGGATCATCTCCAGAGACCTAGGAGTCTGGGCCTCAGGACTGTTCACCTGCCAAAACCCAGGAATCCAGAACTCCAGCCATTTGTCCTCTGAGGTCTCAGGAGCCAGAAGACCCCATCTCCCACCTCAGACCCAGGAATCCAGTCCCCTAAACCCTTCCTCCTTCAAATACAGGATTCTAGGCCCCCAGCTGCCTCCTTCCTCAGACGCAGGAGTCTGGACTCGGTCCCCTGCCCCTCCTCATTTAGAAGCCAGGAGTTCAGCTCCCCAGTCCCCCTAGTTCGAAGACCTGAGCAGCACAGGGAGCTGGAGAAGGCTCAGAGGTGCCCACCCCAGCATGTGTGGACATGCCAGAACTCACACGGACCCACAACACAAGTCTCCGCAGCTGGGCTTCTGTGCTTCCCCTCCAAGGGCACTTGGCCTGAGATGTGGACACACGTGTCTCACAGTCCCAAGACTGAACCCCAGCATACCCCGGGCCTCGCCACCTGGGCCCCAACCTCCCTGGGCCCCGAAGTGGGTTCAGCCTTGTGCAGGGACACAGGCTCGTATGTGCGTAGCACTCTGCACATATGTTTGAACACACGCAATCCCACCCCCCAGAGACCAACACTGAAGCGCGAACAGGCTCACAACATAGACACAAACCCTCAGTGTTGACACCCCTGCACACAACCACACATGTACAACACTGGCTTTCCTTTGCACCGTTGCACAACACAGGTGCACACACTCACCAACACACAGGGGCACACACACCTATAACAGATGCACACTTGCACAAAAACGTGCAGGCGCACACTCCTAAATGCCCAAACACACGCATACAACTTCACGTATCCCTACTATGCACTATCACAAAGCCGATACACACCTACACCAACAGATACACACATGGCCTCACACCCGTGCACAGAACCACGACAGTACACAGACACTCACGAGGCTGGGAGCCACTCAGACAAGCACACAGACACCCAAAGACCCACTTTTGCACAGAGACTCTGAGATGTTCACTCCTAACAGACACACGCTCACACAACAGCCCAGACACCTGGCGGGGATTTACACACTCTACCAAACGCACACAAACCATTGAGCCACAGTAACATCATCAACACACAGGCACGGATTCACACTGATACACGGTCATGGACACACATCTCTCCCAAACCCAAGGCAACCCGCCCCACCTACCCCCCAGGCCAAAGAAATCCTGGCAGCACTACCAGCACGCACCCGCACCCCCACCAAACCAGGGCCAGAGGTCAGGTTTCAGCAGGTGGACTCTCAGAGGCTTGAGGGTCCTAAAACACCATTCCAAGCCAAGGAGATCCTTCTTCCACCAGCAAGCAGCCCATGGGTCCCCAGTCTGGCCATCTGGATGCCGGCAACTCTGGCCCCAACTGCAGAGCTCTGGCTGATGGGGGGATACGGGTGAGGTGGGTAGGGAAGAGCAGGGTCTGTGCCCTCCCCCCCACCCCACGGGCCCATCTGTCCATCCCTCGGCCTCTCATCCCTCCATCTGTACACCTCCTGGCCGCCCATCCCCCCCACCAGCCACCAGGAAGGGGAAGACATGGCCGTCTCCCCCAAGGACCGCTGAGGACCCCCCCACCGCCAGTTGACATGGACCGAGGGAGCGGCTAACTCCCCTCCCCCAAACCTACACAGAGGCCTGGAACCCCAACGCGCCGAGCCCCAGCCCCCGGCCAGGAACCCGACGTGGATGCACAGACACACACCCTCGGAGACATACAACCGCAGACACACACATACAAATGGACACCCGAGCGGGCACACCCGGTTACACAGACCCTCGGATGGACATCCAACCCGGACACAAACCCAACGCAGCTAGCCGCGCACACACACTAGCTAGGGGGTGGGGGAGGGAGGCACCCACACCTGGGCAC